AGGAAACGGGTTCAGAGGAGGGGAGAGAGAAATTGAAGAAGTTGCCTACTACAGAGATTAAGGAAATGTGTGCAAAGTGGCTTGAAGTGCAAACCTTTTTTGATGAAAATCACCCTCACACAGCTATTGCAAGCCGTGTTGGCTGACAATGTTGTGAAACACTTTAGGGAAGTCATAAAGGAACGAGAGGTACAGGCCACTATGGACAGATATGTTGTGCAAAAGAAGTCCAGTGACTCTGAAGCTGGTCCTAGTGGCATTAAAAGAAGAAGGGAAGTAACCCCAGAAAAGGACTCGACACCTCAAGTCTTAATGGAAGGGGATTCCCCTTCTAAACACTAACACTCTCTCTCCCCTCCTCCCATCCCATCAATCATCACCAGATCTTCAATAAAAGTAAGTGTCATGTAAGTGTGCATGCCTTTTTCAGTTTGTATTAAAATTAACATTTCATGTGGTAAAAATTTTTTTTTTCATACTTTTGGGTGTCTTGCACGGATTAATTTGATTTCCATTATTTCTTATGGGGAAAATTCATTCGCATACTGATTATTTCGCATACCAATGACCCCTCTTGCACGGATTAAAATCGGTATGCGGGGGTCCACTGTATATATATATATATATATATATATATATATATATATATATATATATATATATATATATATATATATATATATATATATCCACATATACAGTGGAACCTCTGATCACAAACGCTTCCGAACATGAACAGATCGGTTCACGACCAAAAAATTCGCCAAATTTTTGCATCTGGTCATGAACACGTAATTGACTGCCAAACAAACACAGCTGTGCCAATTTTCACATTCTGCGCCATTCTTTTTGCACGTACCAATTTTCCCCACTTCCTGTTGTTTGTATTCACCTAACAGAGACCCTTGCCTTGTAGTCAATCTCGGTCATTCGTGCGTTCATTTGCTGTGAACTCCTTGTGTTGTATTTCTTGTGTTTTTTTAATTCATTTTGTTTTCTTGGTTGTTTACGATATGTTTTTTCTCTGTTATTTAAGGTTTTTCTGTATTAAACCGTGCATTATTTTGTATAATTAAGGATTTTTCAATGTTTTATCACCAGGTAGTGCAGGTATGAGCAGGTGGCCTGGTGGCTAAAGCTCCCGCTTCACACACGGAGGGCCCAGGTTTGATTCCCAGCGGGTGGAAACATTTCGACACGTTTCCTTACACCTGTTGTCCTGTTCACCTAGCAGCAAATAGGTACCTGGGTGTTAGTCAACTGGTGTGGGTCACATCCTGGGGGACAAGATTGAGGACCCCAATGGAAATAAATTAGACAGTCCTCGATGACGCACTGACTTTCTTGGGTTATCCTGGGTGGCTAACTCTTCAGGGTTAAAAATCCGAATGAAATCTTATCTTATCTTAACAACTTCTAGCAGTGCCAGTACCTGGCTAAGACTTGCCATATATGATTTTTGGGAAATATATTTTTTCTCAGTTGTTAGTTGGGCTATCTTATTAATACGTATAATATATAATATCTTTATTTACTACAAGTGCATGTACAAGGTATGCAGGCATAGCTGACATCAGTGACATACAGCAGACCATTGTTTAACACAGTTTTGTCTGGCAAGTTTTGGTTATAGCATTATTGACATATTGCGGCATATTTTTGTTTAACACTTCGTAAAATTACGTTAAACGGTTGCGGGAGGGGAAACAATTTTGAGCGCGCAGTCACCCGTGGGGCGGGATGGGTTACCGCCATCCTCTGCCAGCATCAGCCACCCCCACCACCCTCCAGTTCAGTTCATACTTGTGTTGGACGAACCTGTGTCAGTAGCTTGCTATGTTCATTTAGAAACGTATTAATTGCCCTATCTTAAATCTGCCAAGTAATCATGGCACCCAGTAGGCATACAAGTGTTGCTGAAAGTTGCAAGAAAAGGTTTAAGCATTTAAGTCTTAGAATTAACAAAGAAAATAGAGATATTAGACAAGAGATAGCCTGTAGATAGAATAAAGTGTCATTTTGTACACAAAAAAGAATGAGGTAAATATGAGTTTGTGTGCTGACTGACTGACTTATTGACTGCCAAACTTGACTGAATAATATACTGATTTAACTGACTGACTTACTAACTTGACTGACTGACTGACTTGACAGAATGACTTGACTGACTGACTTGACTGAATGACTTAGACTTTTTCACTGAAGAGGACCCTGAAATGACGTCTAGAGCAGCTGATGCCTTACCGTCAGTTGTATAATGTACTGTAGGGTAAAATAGTAAAATAGAACAGAAATCCCTTACAGAATTTATGCACACTGCAGTACATCCATCGACTTCAGTACCAGTACCTCTACCATCCACCTCAGCCCAGTAGGGCCACAGCATAACTCTCCACTCTCTTCACAATCATCCACAAACACCAGCACCCACAATTTAAGAAATACTATTATTTCTATTGCATTTGTAATCTTATGCAGTAAAAACAACATAATACATCACAACAATGAACTACAATTACATATTCACTTGAATTTTTGAAAGCTATATGAATATATCTTTTGTCTTATATAAATTAGATTCACTTATAATTAATATTCTACTGTACAACTATGACATAATTCTTAGTGTTAAGTAATCTGTAAGCCAATAATGTTAAGTCGGCCCATGATGCCTATGCATAATAGAGGCTCTCTTTGCATTGCAACCCATTATTGTAAATACAAAATCTCAATGTACTATTTGCAAAGACATAAATAAATAAAAAATTAAGATCTGTGGTTTAAAAAAAGTTGTTTGGTTCTTTGGGGGCCCCACAGGAACGTAACCCTATTTTTCCCATAAGTTCTTCAGTTTGTCTAACACAGTTTTGCCTAACACGGCATTTTCAGGAACGTAACTTTCATGTTAACACTACAGTACTACTATATACAAAGCCGCTTGTTATGCAGAGCACTTCAGGCAAATTAGGTCAGTTTTGTCTTAGGATGCAACCCACACCAGCCGACTAACACTGAGGTACCAGTTTTACTGATGGGTGAACATAGACAACTGGTGTAAAGAAATGCGTCCAATGTTTCCACCCTTTTGCTAGGAATTGAACCCGGATCCTCACTGTGTGAAGCAAGAGCTTTTGCCATCAGGCCACGGTGGGCAATGTATGATGGAAAGATGCTTCTTAACGTGCACCAAAAATGAAAGAAATCAGACGATAAATAATGGAGTTCACTTCTCAGCCATTAGACGTCCCTTAATACTCTTAAACAAAAAAATAGTTTACAGCAAACAATTCATGGGGGATCCAGAACGGACTCATGCAATGTTAGTTTTCTCTGTTGCTCAAGGTTTTCTCAGTGTTATTCAATGTTTTTACATTTAGTTTACTATTACACTGTGCATTCTATGGTATAATTAACTGTTTTTGTGTGAATCCTCAGGTATTGGCAAGAGGTGTGAGGTTAAAAGATCAAGAATCTAACACAAAGTGGGAGTTGTCACAGTTGCTCTTTGCTAATGACACTGTGCTTTTGGGAGATTCTGAAGAGAAGTTGCAGAGGTTAGTGGATGAGTTTGGTAGTGTATGTAAAAAAAAAAGAAAAAAGTGAATATAAGAAAGAGTAAGGTGATGAAGATAAAAAAAAACTAGGTAATGAAAGATTGGATATCAGATTGGGGGGAGAGAGTATGGAGGAGGTGAATGTATTTGGATATTTAGGAGTGGACCTGTCACCAGATGGGTCTATGAAAGATGAGGTGAATTATAGAACTGATGAGGGGAAAAAGGTAAGTGGTGCACTGAGGAGTCTGTGGAGACAAAGAATTTTGTCCATTAAAGCAGAGGGAACTGTACAGTTATACCAACGCTCTTATATGGGTGTGAAGCATGGGTGCAACAAGGAGAAGGCTGGAGGCAGTGGAGATGTTGTGTCTAAGGCCAATGTGTGGTGTGAATATAATGCAGAGAATTCATAGTTTGGAAATTAGGAGGTGGTGCAGGATTATCAAAACTATTATCTAGATGCCTGAGGGGGGGTTGTGTTGAGGTGGTTCGGACATGTAAAGAGGGTATAAATCTGTAGTGGACAGAAGGTGGGGTAGAGGTCAGCCTAGGAAAGGATGGTGGGAGGGGGTAATGGAGGTTTAGTGGGCAAGGGGCTTGGACTTCCAGCAAGCACTTGTGAACATATTAGATAGGAGTGAATGGAGACAAATGGTTTTTGGGACCTGACGAGCTGTTGGAATGTGAGCAGGATAATATTTTGTGAAGGGATTCAGGGAAACCAGTTAGCTGGACTTGAGTCGTGGGAATGGGAAGTACAATGCCTGCACTTTAAAGGAGGGATTTGGGATATTGGCAGTTGGAGGGAGTTCTAAACTGTCGTATCTGAGCGCCTTTGCAAAGATAGTGATTATGTATGAGTGATGGTGAAAGTGTTGAATGATGATAATTTTTTCTTTCTTTTTGGGTTTTTCTCTCTTTTTGGGTCACCCTGCCTCAGTGGGAAACAGCCGAAATGTTGAAAAAAAATATATACATACATACTCAACTGTTGTTGGTAATGGGGTTGAGTTTCAGTTCCTGGTCCTGCCTTTTAAGTTGGCTTCCTGGGCTCTATCATATTTATTATTATTACTGTATTAGTGAAACCTTGATTTAATGGGCTAATAGGGGGAGAGGGTGTCTGGTATTGCCAAATGTCCTTAAATCCAAATGATGACATTGTTTTTCAATGATCATAACAATAATGAACAGTTCTGGATTTACTGAATGTTCTCCATTTCTAGATTTTGTCTCGACAATGAATTTTGTCTGTAAAATTCAAAATCTGTTGAATTGATGCCCATTAAATCAAGGTTTTACTATTACTACTACTACTACCATTAATAATGATAATAATACTAAAAATAATAATCATAATGATAATAACAACACATTTTTGTTTTTCCACCTATTAGTCAAAGGGGAATCTTTAGTATTTTCAGTCTCTCATCATAACAATAATAACAACAATAACAATTTATTTCAGCATAATACATGTTTGTACAAAAGAGTGTAACAGTGTAAGGAGTGTAACAATGTGCATGTGCATACATTATATACAGCTAGTGAAATGTAGATACTGTATGTCTAGTCTTCTATTTTTATTGTCATATAAAAAGCTAAAAACAAATTATGGAGAATCATTATTAAAACTTTATATACAAAAGAAAACTATACAACTACAATGCAATTGTACATTTGCTTTTCTATAATGCTCAACACAAATAAACCTTTAGAAAATTTTAATTAAATATTCATACTTAATACTGTACATGAATAGTATAGGTAGATGACTAAATTTACTAAGACAACAAACACTACATAATATATTAATGATGACTACAAATACTTTGCATTTTTTGTACTGTATTATATACATTTTAACAGTAGCCATCTAACACTGATGGAGGGTGGGCGAAAAAAGAAGAAACGTAAAGGTTTTCTTCTTACATTTAGTAAGTTATACAGGAGAAGGGGTTACTAGCCTCCTGCTCCCACCATTTTAATCGCCTCTTACAATATGCATAGCTTATGAAGGAAGGATTCTTTTCCACTTCTCCATGGAGGTATATACAAGTACCATCCAACTTACGATCGAGATTGGTCCCAACCAACCAGTTGTAAGTCAAAATGGATGCAAGTTGTTAGTTTAATATGTTTATTATGAGCCCCATACCCATCCTGTGGGTGGTAGTCAAAAGATTACAGAGGTACATAATGGACTTGGCCCCAAAGTTCTGATAGCTGAGCAAGTTACAAAGGTAATGAACTCCAGGTAGATCTGGTCACAATCATGACAAGTTACAAAGGTATTTACAGATTACAGAGGTACATAATGGGCCCAGGGACTGGGCTCCAAAGTTTTGATAGCTGAGCAAGTTACAAAGGTAATAAACTCCAGGTAGATCTGGTCACAATCATGACAAGTTTCAAAGGTATTTACAGATTACAGAGGTACATAATGGGTCCAGGAACTGGGCCCCAAAGTTTTGATAGCTGAACAAGGTGCAAAGGTAATGAACTCACAAGTTACAAAGGTAATGAATCATATAAGTAAATTTACTTACTTATGTTTATACATGGCTACAATTATGAACAAATTATAGGGTAATGAGCAATGCACACATCCACACCCAGTCACAACTATAATGAGTTATTGCTGCAATTATTAATTGTTGGGTCACACACACATGCAGGGCCAGGAGCTGTGACTCGACGAATCTTAGAAAATTGCTGACATACTGGGTAAGGCATAATGTCAAACCTTTGCTATACAAAGTACCTACATGTACTTTTTGCCACATGCTCCAGTGCAAGATTCAGACTTCCTCTTAGGGGCCATGGTGAAATTTACTGTCCGGGTACATATAGTATACAGTACAGTACAGTTAATACAGTATGATGCTGCTGATAGGGCAGGGTAACTCAATGTGATGCTGCCTGAGTGATGTGAGAGCTCTCCCAAGATGGAGTGTTGCCACGAGTAGTGGTCAGCTGTCGTACGGCGGTATGCATCAGCCCACCCAACCTTGCTGCCAGACGTACAGTTGTAAGCACAAGTGATCATATGTTGAGCAGATCGTAAGTCGGATAGTACTTGTATCTTCATCTTTAGTTTTACTGCTAATTCTATAGTTACAAATTTATATCACAGAGGTTCAAAGTATGTCTAAGGAAACTTCTTGCACCAGCTAAGGCAGTTTGAATCATATATAGTACATAATTTATGCCTCAGTTTCTTTGCCTTTGTTATGTGGATAGTCTTGAGAATCAAGGTCCTCTAGCAGGTAACTTTCACCAGAATGACTGGTGCTTGGCTGAACAAAGTGAAATTCACCATCTGTTTCATCTTTCTTGGGAGAGGTTTCACTGATGCTTCCTCGTGGATACCTGTGTAGGATAGAATATATTTAGAACTCAAACACGTGCATAGAGAAACTTGCAGCATGAAGCGTTGCACCTCAAACAACGATTTTTCCAGACAAGAATAACTAGGTATAATTTGATCACTAAAGGATGATCAAGGCAGATATCACCAGTCTTCTCTCACTGTCCAATACAATTTTATGAAATCTTAAAACAAACTCACTCTCTTATTTCTTTTTATCTTTTAATTTTTCTCTCTCTCTCTCTCACCACCTCTGACACTACTGAGATTTGTTTCTGTGTAATACTGAAGAGAGTTAAAGAAGAAAAACATCTATTGAGTTATTGTATTAAAAACACACAAAACTCCTTAGATTGGAAAATCTTACCAAACTAATTCAAAGTGCAAAATTATTAAGTCCTTTCATACATAGCCATTTGTATTTAATAAAAACAGGTTTTAAAATATTGCTAATTCAGTTAAACAAAATTTAACTATTGTAATATACACTAAATATATAGATTAATCAGTTTAAACATTCAAATCTTATACACAGTGGTTGATATTAAGATGCATTACCTTAAATTCTCCACAAACAATAAGTTTAGCACTTTCTTGTAAATATAATAATAACATAATTGTCAGTTCTCTTATAAAGTTCCTGTATATAGTTATTTTCTGTGATGTAATTCAAAAAGTGAATCCAAAATTGAATAATGCATGAAAGACCTTCATAGTACAGTACTGTACATAATATTCAATTTTGGATGCACTTTTTCAACTGCATTTGCAAAAAAAAAAAAAACTCTTTACTGTATATAGAATAGCTTCATAAGAGAGCTTAGTGTAATAGTAATACTTTATTTCAGCATGACACAATATTTGTACAAAGGTGAATGACATGATATGACATGACATATGAATGACATGACATGACATATGAATGACATGCAGAAAGCCTCTATATATGCAGAGCATTTTAGGCAAACTTAAGACTAACTTAAGATAAAGAAGGCAATAACAATATGAGTTAATTTTATACATACAGTCACTTGGGTGAGTGTAAGTACAAGAGAAATGAATATAAATAATAACGGTAAATGGGCACTTTATAATATATCCTGGTAGGTTTAGCACTTCCTTTTGATTATAATAATAATAATAATGCAACATGATGCCTTTGTTGGTACACTATACTACATTTCATCCAGTTATGGATGGTCTATCAAGTAACAAGTACAGTGGAACCTTGACTTACGAGTTTAATCCGTTCCAGGAGCTAGCTCGTAACTCAATTTTCTCGTATATCAAATTAATTTCTTCATTTTAAATTAATTGAAAAGCCATTAATTCGTTCCTGGACTCTGGAGAGCCGAGAAAAAATACTTGAATACGTATGACGCCATTATCAACTTTACAGCTTATTTATCACAATTCATCTAATATGACATAATAAACAATATAATTAACACAGAAACATGATATATAGTCTAGAACGAATAAAATAGGTCATAATATGGTGGCAGAGGCAGCAGCGGAAGCGTCCGCCATTTCTGTCCCAATTTGACTATAGTATCTTCCCATGTTCTTACTGTAAGAGAAATGAGAGTATTTTTGAGGCTAACTGCAGCAGATCACTAGTTTTCTAAAGAAAACACTGAAACAATGTTTTTATAAATAAGAAATATCGTATAAAAACTATTTATATAAAGTGTATATGTACAGTGGACCCCCGACATTCAATGGCATCGACATTCGATAAATCCGACATTCAATGCATTTTAACGCAAAAATTTCGCCTCGACATTTGATGGAAAACCTGACATTCGATACAATTCGTACGAGACGTGTCCACATGTGGCCTGAACTGCCCCGTGTGTGCCAGTGTTTACAAGCCAGCCAGTGTGCGCGCATCTAAGGATACATTCGGTACATTCCATATTATCCATATTATCACTGTTTTTGGTGCTTGTTTCTGCAAAATAAGTCACCATGGGCCCCAAGAAAGCTTCTAGTGCCATCCCTATGGTAAAAAGGGTGAGAATTAGTATGGAAATTAAGAAAGATTTTGAAGGGTTTGGGGCTAACCCAGAGAAGCCTATGCCAGTTGTGGACTCTATTGTGCCTACTTCAAAAATTAAGGAAATGTGTGCAAAGTGGGTTGAACTGCAAATCTTTATGGATGAAAATCACCCTAACACAGCTATTGCAAGCCATGCTGGTGACTATTACAATGACAATGTTATGGCCCATTTTAGACAAATCTTAAAGGAACGAGGTCCAGTGACTCTCAAGCTGGTCCTAGTGGCATTAAAAGAAGGGAAGTAACCCTGGAAAATGACTTGCTACCTCAAGTCCTAATGGAAGGGGATTCCCCTTCTAAACAGTAACAACTTCGACACTCTCCCCTCCTCCCATCCCATCAATCATCACCAGATCTTCATTAAAGGTAAGTGTCAATTATTCTATTGTTATTGTTGTTATTGTAATTATTCTCTTGCATTAAACTTAATATTTCATGTGGTAAAATTTTTTTTCATACTTTTGGGTGTCTTGCACAGATTAATTTGATTTCCATTATTTCTTATGGGGAAAATTAATTCGACTTTCGATATTTTCGACATTCGATAGCTCTCAGGAACGGATTAGTATCGAATGTTGAGGGTCCACTGTACTTACACACTTGGAGCAGAGACGGTGGGGGAGGTTGAGGGTGGGGGAGGTTGAGGGTGGGGATGCTGAGGGTGGGGGATGTTGAGGGTGGGGATGTTGAGGGTGGGGGATGTTGAGGGTGGGGGGACAACGAGGGTAGGGGATGTTGAGAGTGGGGGGTGTTGAGGGAGGGGGAGGTTGAGAGTGGGGGAGGTTGAGGGTGGGGGATGTTGAGGTGTGGGATGCTGAGGGTGGGGGATGCTGAGGGTGGGGGATGTTGAGGGTGGGGATGTGAGGGTGGGGGCTGCTGAGGGTGGGGGATGTTGAGGGTGGGGGGATGTTGAGGGTGGGGGATGAGGGTGGGGGAGGTTGAGAGTGGGGGGGTGTTGAGGGAGGGGGAGGTTAAAGTGGGGGATGTTGAGGATGGAGGAGGTTGAGGGTGGGGGATGCTGAGGGTGGGGGATGTTGAGGGTGGGGGATGTTGAGGGTGGGGGCTGCTGAGGTGGGGGGATGTTGAGGGTGGGGGATGTTGAGGGTGGGGGGGATGTTGAGGGTGGGGGGATGTTGAGGGTGGGGGGGATGTTGAGGGTGCAGCATATGATGTATTGCCTTGTTAAGTCCATGGAAATCATCGCCTTTTTCTTCTCAGCACTTATTTTCTTAGGACCCGTGGTTAGAAAAAAGAAATTTGGCCAAACGACTGTAAAAAATGCGAACAAGCACAAGAAAACTGCTCCCACAGCAATGTAAACATGTGTACTGCTTACCAGATGGTTTTGTACCAACTAGCGGCAGCATTCTGAATTATTACGTACTTATTATGTATTATTATTATTAATTTAGGGAACTGAAGCTCTATCATTATTACAATAATTATTATTATTATTATAATTATTTTATTATTATTAATTTAGGGAACTGAAGCTCTATTGTTATTATTATTAATAATAATAATTATTACTAGTTCTTGTTCTTGTTTATTTCCACTTATCTCCGTAAGTCATGCATGTCGTAAGAGGCGGCTATAATGCCGGGAGCAAGGGGCTAGTAACCCCTTCTCCTGTATATATTACTAAATTTAAAAGGAAAAACTTTCGTTTTTCCTTTTGGGCCACCCTTCCTCAGTGGGATACACTTGGTGCATTGAAAGAAGAAAAGTGTATATTGTTAAAAACCACTTTAGACCATATACATACATATGAATCAACTAATTATTGCCTCTTTAGTCTTAAGATTGGCTTAAGTTTGCCTGAAATGCTCTGCATGCAGAGATGGGTGACATTTAAGCCTACATGCTTTCTGCATGTACACTTAAATGTCACCCATCTCTGTACAATCATTGTATCATGCTGAAATAAAGAATTTGAATTTGAAGCCATCCACACCCATGCCTCTGTTCACTGCTGCCAGCATGCTGTTCAAGAAATTGTCTTTAAATTTAGTCTTCACTGATCTAAGGCTGCCTTGGTCACATGGACGAATTAATGAATCACATTTGGGGGAAAGTACATGCCATAAACATTATTTCAGATGAGAAATTAAGCTGGAGGATGAGCTGAACAGTTGTCATGGAATAACAAAATCTTGCACTTGGCATCCAGTCTGGCTTCCCTGCACTGGGCGTGAGCCGCTGGTACAAAATATTTGTGAAACCAATCAGAAAAGATGTTCCTGGTGATCCAAGCCCCTTTGTTAGCATAATAATGGACTGGAAAGGTATTCACAGCTTTAAAACAATGAGATCCAGGCTTTTGCCTACCACAGCTGAATTAGCACATCCCAGCACAGGTAATCTGTCCTTAGTATCCTTGACTCCTGTAGGAGCTCTCTCATCAGCTATAGTCAATGTTTTTCTGGGGCAATAATGCCAGAACAGTGATGTCTCATCAGTATTGTAGATTTGTTCTGCTGTTAGAGTTTCATTAGCAACAATCTTGGCAAATACATCAATGAATTTCTCTGCTGCTTTATCACCACTTATCTTTAAATATTTAATGCTGTGCCTTTTCTTAAATTTTTGTAACCAGCCTGCTGAATATTCAGTTACCTTCAATATTCAGTTTGTAATGATAAATTTTTGCTTAGTTCATGATCAGCATTCTGTTAAGCGGCACATGCTCACTTCAACACTGACGAACCCACTCCATCAATACACAATCAAAATCTTTATTTTTTTCCCTCTGTGGAATATTTTTTTTTATTTTTCATTAACTTCTGTTCATCACTTTTAGCACAGAACTTCAATAATTTGTCCTTCTCTTTCTATAGGTTGTAGATAGTGGTTGTTCCAACACCAAACTTCTCATTCTGATGCTTCACACTTTCACCACTGTCAGGTTATTCCAACAACTTGACTTTCTGTGATACCTGG